TTTAAAAAAAACACTGCTTTAATAATTAACATACATGTTTTCAATGAATTAAAAAGAACCAAAGTTGTAATTGTTTCAGCTTATTCAACCACAAGCAGCTTTAGAGAACTTTGTCTGAATTAAAGTCTAAAACTAGAACATTTTGATTAAAATATGCTATTATATGATCATACAATGAGAAAACAAGATGGTGTATCTGACCAGATATTTCAAGCCAATAAATATTGGTCAGCACTCAGAACCAAAAAGGTACTGAAGCTTTGATACCCTGCACTTTAAATTTCTGATGCAGTGACTTCTTGACAGTATAATGTAACTTGTATACACTAAATTTCAAAAGACATTATGTGATTTTTTTACCAATCATTATGGCAGCTAAATTAAAGATAAGCTAATAAAACATCCTTAAATTATGGACAGACTTTGAATCCAGAACTGTCAAATTCAATAGTAAAATAAGAAAATGGCAAGTCAATAAATACCATGTTCTCTCCACATTTTATTATGTACAGACAAGTAAAAGAAGCTCAGAACTGCAAGCTATGATGAGTAGTCATTTCCCTGATTTGACACCAACAAGGCCAAAGTTACAAGTTTCATCTTTTTTGCAATTTTTATATTTTAACATTTTTGTTTAAGACTTACTTGTGACCCCTCTTACTTGAAAGTACTCCTACACATTCAAAAAGCAGAAGCACAGACAGTACTTAGGTTACAAGGCAACTCCAGATATTGGATTTTTAAAGACAGATACTGACACTGATGGGTGTTTATAAAATATTTTAAAAGTTTATTTTGGGCAATAACATTTTTAAACATAAACAAATAAGTTACTAAGGATCCCTTAAAGGTGGTTACAAATAATCCTGACCAAGATATGCACTGAGGATATTTATGGTTTTAAAAATAAATATGATCCCTCATAGACAAATATAGGTGAGAGATACTGTTAGTACTGTTGACATTTCTGTGCTGGGATTTCTTGCTTACTCACCAGACAACACAGTGAAAAAAGCATGTAACGTATTAAGTATTGCGACATACAATATACAACATCATATATGTTATAATCTATTGATGTTGGCACCTTTTCAGTTTTTGCTGACAAAAAAATAATAAAATATGCTGACAACTACTTTACGGTCCAAGAATGATTATTTACCCAGTATAACGTTACATGGCCACAAGATATTATCCTGTATTGCCCTCAAACGCTTAATTTATGGATTTTCTCTCTTATCCGGTGTAATACTCCTTTAACTATCATGTTAGTTAACATTTTCACCGTTGGTTGTCACAGTAAACAAGATTATAATCAGACCCCTGGCTTGTACTATGAAGCAATCCAGGTAACTTCAGGAGTAACTCTGACGTCGGGTGTAACTTCCCGATTAATCCGCACTATGAAAGGTGGATAGGTGTTAACAAAGGTCTGTTGCCATGGCAATTTAGACTGCATCTCTAAACTGCTCCGAGCAGGTTATCTTCATGGTTAACTCGAGGTTTCCCTATGTATGCGGACTACACACCACATCTGTACTCAGTGTTAATGATGAGAAGTAGGCAATTAATACATACCACTTAATAAAATATTTTTAGATTTCATCCGTTTCATCCTGACTTGTTCCACTGCGGTTGCTGTTGATGTTATTTTTAACACAACAGCATTATGTTCATACAGCAAGCCCTGCAAACTCTGTGAATTTAGGGAGAAGATAATTAAATAATGGGCCAGTTTCTGAGATGTAGCCAATCTGCAGGCTATAACTCAATTATTAACCGTTTTCACATATTTAGATTGACTATTTTACGTGTCAAAAAATACGGAGCCAGTGTGGGGGTTAACAGCAGAGAAAAGATCAAGATGAAAGTGGAAAATTTACAAGAACAAAAATTCCCTGAAATTAAAGTAAAAAAAAAATCCAAATCACTCTGGTGTTTCCTTCAGAATAGACTACACCCAATTCAGGGCAAAGTTTCTAAGGTGGGTGCTAGGTGGGGAAAACTCACCTATTTCCTCTCTGCTAAATCCAATTGTGAAGTCTCATAATTTTCCACTGCACTCATAATACATGGCGGAGGTGTGTGTGTGTGTGTGTGTGTGTGATGTTGCAGCCTTGCAAAGTGAAGCATGTGGTTGCTTGAGGAAAAAAAACACTATTTTTCAGAGAATTTCTCTCATAAATATTTGAACATAATGTCAGAGAATATATTTTAACTTGATTTGTGATTATTAGTTTCTCCTAAATCTACCACATTAATCATGGAAATTCTTTCCCCCTCTCTCCAATTATTTTATTACAATGGACATAATGTGCAGTTGTACATTTACATTTTAATTATATTAGGATATAAGTATAATGATATATAAAAGAAGAGTCCATAAATACATAATAGAGAATTAGCCTACAATAAGAGCAAATTTACTCAACGCATGCCAACAAGCCTCCCTCACTTTGTCGGCCGCCACGGTGTTAAATTTGGCCGTTATTGTGTCTTTAAACTCCTCATCTCCTGACACTATCAGCGCATTCTTCTGGGGAAAATACAGAGCATGCGTCGTTGCGAAACTCTATCTGCACGGCCGAACATGCCCCCTTCATGTGACTTTATGCAACTCCAATTAAGTTAACACCGACTCAACTAACCAAAATCTTTTTCAACGTCGTAGAACCGTTTACTACCAGTGTAGGCAGTCAGAGTTCGTCAACCCTGAGTTTGCTTGATAACCCTGAGTTAACTCTGAGTAGGTTGGACTCCCTTCGTAGCACAGGCCACTGGTCACTAGAGTGGGCGGTTGACGTGATAAACATTGACTGTTGCTGGAAATTCGAAATCCGAGGCCTTATTATGTTCAAATTGAACTGGTGTTCAGTGCAAATGCTTTATGTATGTATATTTGCTCAGCTATGCAGCGGTTTTATTAGCTAATTATTGCTATATCTGATCAGGTAGCATAACAGCATCGCTAACTACCGTTATGTAAGATCTCCTAGTCTAACGTTAACGTTATTTATTAAAACTCCAGAACGTCAGCTAACGTTAGCCAGCTGCTGATAAGTAGCATTAAAAGCCCAATGTACAACCACCACTGGTTTGACGCCTGTGTCCCACATGTGGTACGACAAAACTATGACTTTGTGTGGCCACAACTGGCACTTGACCGCTTATTATAACTGCTATCAACTGTAATTTATCCTAATATAATTTAAACCAGATGATGTCGGTGGGCTCCATGGCTAATAATGATAAGTGGCTACAGTTAGCTTTGAGGCTAGCAAAAAAACCGCCAATGGCAGCAAAAGCAAGGCCGTGTCATTATTTACTTCAGTTCCCACAGCACGTCTCGTGTGTATTCCCGTAAACATATCTGTGTTTAACATGCAAACTGTCCATTAATTCCTCGGCGGAACAAAGCTACATCACAGCTAGCTACGCTGTGGCTAACGCGTCATTTTGTTCGCTTCCATGACTGTTTTCAGCCATTAGACTACGCCCCCTTCACTGGCTAACGTTAGCCGCTAGCTAGCAGCAGTCAGGCTATCAGGGGGGGACAAACCTTTTTGTTTACATTTTGACGTCGTTACTTACTGGTAATCTACGGAGCTCTTCAAATGTTCCCGCAGCGTAGTCAGCTCTCGGCCGCGACCGTTGCGGCCACCGGTAGAGGCCGGGCCGTGGTTGTTGCTGCCAGCTGTCGGTCGCTTGGTAGCTTGTCACTTATCAACCATGTCTGCGGGCGCCATTTCCCGCCTCATCACAAACATAACGTTGATGGTGCGCAGGAGAATGCGACACACGCAAGAGAACCAACGTGGCGGGGAGCGGAATCAACAGGAAAATGGCTATAGTGTGTGCGCAGCTGGGCTGATGCTCACTAACACACTTTATCCCTGCTGGTATTGTTGTGTGACTACAGGATGTGCAAATCGTAGACTGTGTGCATAATGTGTTATGTCCTTTTACAGTTTTAAGAATCGTACTGGTGTTTAGCATCTTTTTGCCTAAAGTTTTTATAATTTTAAAAACGTTTTTCAACATTACAGTGTGGAGTGCAGCTTGCAGAGAAGATCACAGTGAACTTTCTGTTCCAGCTTAGTTTTCAGTCAAATTCAGCTCAAATACTTTCAAGCCCTTGTGGAAAGATCTAGATTAGATATTAGATACTGGTAAGCAGCACTGTGAACATCAACTATGTTTTTGAAAAATAAACAGGAAATACCAACAGGCAAAAATAGACAATGTGACAGGTAGCCTAATCTGAATTTGAGATCTTTTTGCCGTAGGAAGTCCTGGCTGCCCAAACTTTGCACCAGCAATCGGGTCTTTGAAACATAATGTAGATTCAGCTACATTAGGCCTATCAAGAAAACTTTGAACACTCCTTTTAAAATTAATTTTTAAACAAGGTTCAAGCTCTAAGAGGTTGACTTTCATACCACAGTGAAATTAGGGACTGTTGGAGGGTAGTAATAAATATCAATCAACACGCTCTTCTGTTATGTACATGGGTACTGAGTCCTCAAAACCAAATACCAAGAGTCATCAGCAGAACAAAGACTCTAAATTATGTATTCTTGCACAGACAACATGCATTGTCAGCTTGCATGAATAAGTTGTCCTGCCGAAAACTCTTAATGTAAGACAAAGGTGTTCAATCTGAAAACAATTTGGTAAAACTATGGGTATTTTCAGAAGTGGGAAGCAAAAGATTTGTGCAGTTATAAGCTAGAACATGCAAAAACTTGTTATTCATTTCACAACAACCCTTCTCGCTACAGCCTCAGGGCAGAGTCAACACGATCTGCATTTACAGCCGATTTAGTAGAGTGAACAAAATGAAATGAAATGGCAGTGTCCACTAACTGCAGATTGTGCCCTAAAGTGATAATATTAATCAGGGACATCAGAAAAGTAAACATTACACACAAATCACAGCACCTAAGTCATGTATAACCAGTAAAACTGCTGGATGTAAAATACTATAAAGTGCAACAAGGTTGAAACAATACTGAGAATGTATTTATGATTTTTCATCAACAATTTCAGTTTTTACTTCAATATCATAATTACAGCAGGTTTAAAGTGTATACAGTCATTTTAATGATTAAAAAGAAATGCACCGACTATATAACCACCATGACGTTTTTAACTCGGTTAAGCGCTGATAGAAAAATAATCTATGTACAAAACTCTGTTTCTGATATAAGAAAAGCACTTAGTTTGCAAGTTGATGGTTAAGCATTCTCAAATACAACCACTCATACAATATGTTTGATAGCATAAATGATTAACATTGTACCATGGATACAAATACATTTTCATAGACTGGATGCTTTAGCATGTAATTTGGAGAACACTGAAGACCTAAACTGACGACAAACTATACACATTATTACTGACGTCCTATATATACACCATTTTTAGTAAAGCAATATATATTGTGCTTAGTGACTGCTATTAACACAGCACTTGTAATGACTGGTATACAGTGATTACAGCTGTAGAGGTGGGCATCCCTCCAATATCCTGTAAAAACAAATGACCATGTTATTGTACCAAAGCATCAACATTTTTAATAGTTCATTTACACTTGCAATTTAAAAAAAAGGCCAATTGGGTCTGTTTATTGGATGTACATGGGTAACATGGATTATATACTCTGCAGCAAGAAGTTAGGGTCGCAAATCTAAGAATCTTCTACAAACCTTTTGCTGGTTGGATAATAAGGTTGATGAAAGCAGCAAGACTGTACATTCAAAGTGCTGCCAAAAGAACCAAAAGCAGCTAAAAGCTACTTGGGACTGCAGAGTCAAGTGACTTTTTCTCATTACAGGGAGTCATTTTATTCCATGGCAACATCAATTCACAACTTAGTGAAGGTTTAACTAAAGCGAGACATATTGCCACTGAACTAGCCACTATCTGTGTCCATCCTCTCGATTAAATGTGCAGTATTAACTTGCAAAGTGATGGTGAGGTTTCATTTCATCCCAAAATGAAAGAGTTTCCTGTATGGTCCTGGTCCACCCCATAGGCCCCTGACGTAAGAAAAATAAAGAACATTAATAAAATTTGGTGAAAGGTATGGTATGATTTCTCACTACTAACTATTAACATGTTAATTAACTATACATACTTTAAAAGCCCGTGCCAATAGAGGTGAGGCAACGCATCAGCTTTCATGTAGTACATGAGTCTTCTTTCTTTGGCTTGGTTGATGGGGAATGTTTCCAGTGGTTGGTTATTGTAGTCAAACTCTGCCAGAATTACCGTGTTGTAGCTCGTGACCAACGGACATGAAGTGTAGCCATCATACTGTAAACAAGGAGATTACTGATTATGTATTTGCATATATTTCAACAGAGAAGTAAAATTCTTGATGTTTATGTGCCACTTACCTTCTTATCTGGCTTCTCATTTTTCAGAATTTTCCTGATGGTTCTGCTCAATATAGCAGACTGTGCAGCTGAGAGTAAGAAAAAGCTGGTTAGCTTTTTCAATAAATGTGTAAATTCTCTTTTTAGGAATTAAGATGACTAATGCTATATCCCAAATCCACACTACATGTTGATTATATGCAGTTTAATCAGAAAGTATACAAAATAAATCAACATACTTTATAGCAACATAACATGACACAATACGTGCAACGTCAGACGTCCATCAAACTTCGGAAGGTCACTGCAAGTTACACCTCACAAACAGAAAGTGTCTTTCTTAAGACTTATTTCTTAATGTTCTTTTCACACCAGCTTAGACTAACATTTCGCAGGACAATTTCTTTTCTGCCTTATTTCCATCTGTGTGTGTGGAAGAAGGTGAGAACCAATAAAAAGCAGAGAAGGGGCACTGGATTTATACTCCTGCGGTGACTTGACGCATATACCTATGGCGTTGGCAATGCACGTACCTTCGCATTTATATTCGTGTGTTGGTGTCTGTATCACTCTGCAGTTACACCGCCAAAACCCTAGTTGGCGGTGGGGTTTCTATGTTTCTCTGTGTTGACTTCTAGAAGTGAGGCAGGTACTGTGAAAGATTGCATCAATTTCTTGTGGCAGTGTGCTTAAATGAAAAATTTAGGCGCACCAGCGCAACCAATGCAAAAAGTTAGTCAGATTTTCTTACTGCAAGGCAACAGTGCTAACCACAGAACCTGACGTACTGCCCTGCCATGCTTTCACCTAATCCAAAATTGATCCTCTGTATGGTCGCCATGATGTTGACAGATTTGGGGTGCATTCAGTTTCATAATCCGTGTAAAATGTGCATTGTCTTTCCTTGAATCGAGAGGCAAACACCTGAGATGCCTGGATCAAAGCACACAAAGTGAATTTAGTCTACATTCTGCCATAAATGCATGTTTTATTGGTTTGTTATGGCAACATGTGCTTTTATTGGATGGTTTTAAGTTTAAATGATGTACAGTATATGACATCATTATGGGGCTTATTGAAGGCCATCAAGGGAAGAAAATGCTCCCTTAACTGCCATAACTCTACACTGCACTTGATCAACCTCAGCTGAAATTAAAATTCTGACTTGCTGGTGTCACTGGATTAAATAAATAAACTATAAACTAATGGGCCGCCAAAATCAGCAAGATTCATCCCGTGGGGATAAGGAATATCTGTGCCACATGTTAGAGCTATTTCCTCAGTTATCTTTCATATATTTCCCTCTGCACCAAAGTTCATCTAAGGACACGGATGGATTGATACTGTCAACCCTACAGCCGCTACGCCAACATCCCTCACATTTGGCTTACATGATAACACTAGATTCTTTACTGCAGTCAGATTTCAGTTGTGCAGGAAGTAATAAGTAATGTTTTATAACCTAATGTCATTAACAATGATGCCAAGTTGCCAGGAACTTCCCATCATTTAATCCACAGTTAACAGACAGGAAATGGCACACATTTAACTTAGCTAGGTGCAGAGGGTTAAACTTATTCCCCATTTGTTTACATTTTACAAAGAAATGCAATATTCCAACTAATGACACAAAAATCACTTACCAACAGCAGCGGCCGTTCTGATTGTGGGCAGATTGGTACAATCTCCAATCCCAAACACATTTGAATACATATTATGTTGGAGGTTGTCTTTGTTGACATCCAACCAACCCGCCGGATCTGCCAGTGGACTGCCTTTAATCACCAAATTGGGTCCCATTGGTGGAGTGACATGAAGCATTTCATACTAATAAAGAAAAACTGCGAAGTTTAAGAGTTATTTACTGGAGTCTGTGTTCTTAAATTGGCATATTACTAGGTTTAATTAATTACTTAGGTTCAAAAGGAGTAAATAAATAGTGTATTACGTTTTTCAGAACATACAGACTCAACAAACAAAAAACAACATCACTAAAGGATTTAAAGAGGAAGGAATTACGAAGCACATTGTGGAATAGGTTGTCCATGGCTCAAAACAGTCAATACTGTATTACTACGTAAAAGGTGCTGTTGCGATACAGTAACACAGTTTTACCTCAAACACTTTGGTTTCGCCCGGTTTGTCAAGATTTTCAAACACAGCTTCTTTCTTATCTGCCCGCACTTCAATCAGGTTGTGCCTCAGGTTCACCTGTAGGTCACGCTGTTTAACAATATCCCACAATGAATCTGCATATTTCTTGACCCCAAAGAGCACAGGTAGAGATGTGTTGTATATTAAATTGGCCTTCGCTCTTTTTCCTTCTTGGATGGAAACAAAAAAATCTTCATTTAATTTCAACACTTAACAAATGTACTATATTATCATTCAAATCTAAAAATGAAGTACCTTTCTGAGATAGGCATCTGTTAGGTACATGATCTTCTGTGGAGCTCCAGCACATTTCACAGGAGTATTTGGGAAAGTGAAAACAGCGTTGCCCTCTTTGAAGTCCTGCAGCGCTTTCCACGTTTTCTCCACAGTTTGGACTGAGTAGTTTGACCCAATCTTTGGATGCTCAAATCCTTCTGGCAGTCCTTTGATCTACAGATAAGAGGAGTTTTCTGAGATGTAATTCAATTTTCATACAATGGCAAAAGTTTACTAGGTAGAGTTGAAAAATTAAAGCTTTACTTCACCTTCTCATAATGAAGTTGTAAACCAAGAGCCACGATCAAATACTCATAGGAGATCTGCAATGTGAAAGAAAGTCTAAGTAGAGCTAGATGCACATAGAGATCATATTATTAAAAAACAAAATCTGCTTCATATGCAAACTAGTACTCAAAGCCTTCCCGGCAGATGACACACTATAAAGCAGTTTTATACATACACACTGTCAGATAACAGCTTCCTAAAGCAAACATACTTCAGTCCCATCGTCTGTGCGGACAGTATTTGCATCTGGGTTGATTTCCTGAACTTTAGATTTCACCCACTTTACTCCAGACGGCACAACACTCGCAGTGGAACGCCCTGATGAGGCCACAGATTTTGCCCCAGCACCAACCAGCGTCCAGATTGGCTGATAGTAGTGCATCTGAAAACATTGATAAGTTGTTACAAACCAGCTTTAAATGACAGTGGAAAATACATTTATGTTTCTGAGGGACTGAAACACAAAAATGCAAAACATGAATAGACAGCTGAATAAATGAAAGCGACACTTCTAGTGATCCACAAAGAGAGCTATAGCTAATCATAATCTACTGTATCCTTACCTCGCTGGGCTCCACAACAGCCACATTCTCAGCTCCCATCATCCTCTTCATTCGTGCACTCATTGTAATGCCCCCACTTCCTCCTCCGAGCACGAGCATTTTGTAATGATGTTTGGCAGAGGCACTGCTGCTTTTGTGTAGACGACAGACAGCAATGCCTGTGGCCTGGCACTGCCTCAGACGACGCAGTGCAGACATGCTGTGTCTTAAAAGTAAAGACAAATCATTTATAGTTACCAACATTTAATTTATACTGTCTGGTAATCATCCATCCATCCATCGTCCACCGCTTATTCTGCATACAGGGTCGCGGGGTGTCTGTATTCATATCAAATCTGTCAACAGCCTGCAGTTGCCATTTTACTGTCAAAGGTAACTAGTTTTGCCTTTTTCAGTAATTAGTAGAATAGATAACCCAAGTGCAGTTCTCTGAATAGATTTTAAACGTTAATTTTTTCATCAGCTTCAATATTTAATGTTTTGACATGGAATAATGAGAACAATAAGACCATGACTGTGGGTTTACCACTTAAAGATATTGTAATAAGGGACCAACCCACATTTAAATTGACCTGACAAAACAAACAACAGGATATTTGCAGGAGCAAATAATGGTTTAACAGTGCCTTTATGGTGACTTTTTTTAACAAGTCGTTGAGTAAAAAAGTTGTATAATAAGGGGACCTGCTTTAAATTGAGTCCGAGATTAAGTTTGGCCTACTTTGACGTAGGCCTATACCTTTCAGATGCCCTAGTTTGCCAGTGCCCTTACAACCCCTATAAGAGAAACCCTAACAGCACAATTAACTAACACTTAAATTAAAGGTACAGCTGGGTTAATTTAATTTGGGTTGCTTGAATCTCCTCTGAAGCCCAGTCGGAGCTGAACAGTTGCTGCTGCAAGATGCGTAATGAAGCCTTCATAACAAGTATCCTGTAAGATACATGCGTTGACCTGACAACATGATATCCAGGTACAGTTCAGCACTTTAACGTCGATAAAGACAGAGTTGTTTTACTCACCTTGACCTGTTATCCTCCCGTTTAACTGTCAAATTAGAAAAAATCCTTAAATGACACTGGAGAATTCAGTCCGAGCTGCGTTCACTCTGCAAAGTAGGTAGGACTATCAGCATTAATCTGATATAGACTTGCAAATGCCACCCTTTAAGGGGCGGGCTGAACTGTTCGTCCCGCCTCCTCCACCGCTCGATCAATCAAAAGTAAGCGGCCGTTACTAACAGTGGGTTTAACCTTTTATCTTCAGCATAAACCTAATATGTTAGCTGAACTTTTAACGGAGTTGAAAGACAGACCTCGAAAATAGACGTTATAAGGTTTTTGAAAAGTTAATAACCCTGCTTTTCAAAAAAAAAGTTTGGATGCATCCTCACTTGAGGGTGGGCGTTTGTGGGTGTAATAGAGCCCTTTCCACGGTTCATCACATCAGCGTAGTCGTTTTGGAATCTGCTGAAAAGCATGTTTGCGAAATAAACTTGTATTTAGCTAGTAGTGAAACGTACGGGGACTGCAAATACCCGATGGTTTTTCATATATGCATCACTATCTGTAAACCATGAAGAATATTGTAGTAGTTAAGTAGCAGGTTCGAGACCTGTATAGTGCCTGCCCATTCAATGGGACTATTTAAAAAGTTGTAGCTACAACAAAATAAATTGAATTTGTTTGACTGTTGGCTACTAACGGTCAAACTGTTTTTTTCTGGTGCAGATATTGTTTTCAGGTACTGTCCTGCTGATCACCTAGGTCTACAACAGAGACCGGGATGTGTGGCCATCATAACCAAAACACAAGCAGGGATGTACTTCTATCTTGCCCATATGGTAGCATATATCAGGTTTACTGTGGAGTTTTAATCTGACAGAGAAGACTAGATAGATTTTGGGCGAGGAGCTCAATGGCAATTCAGTGCATCTTTTGGATCTATTACCTGGTTCCTCATGCCTGTTTTATTATAGTGTTATAGCATAAAATAAAAAGCTTGGTATATATTAACCAAATTATACAATAATAGTAATATGTATTTAGGAAGTTAAAGTGACAGAGAGATTATAGGCCTTGGAGTTGGTTGAGATATGATTCATAACAATAGATATCAATTATTACAATAATACAAATATAAAGAAAGAAGAAACAAACAGAATGTCCTACCTAATATGTTGGATTGTATCAGTGGGACTTTCTGAATTATATTTACATTTAGCATATTTTTATCTAGTCCTCGAGGAGTTTGATCACAGAGTCTGGAAAAGAAAATATTCCGTTTGAATAAGTTTTAAAGCCTCTGGTTGGCCTTTGATCGCCATGTAATAGTCACTGACCATGGAGTGGTGCTGTTGGATTGTGTTAAACCAAGGGGTGTTTCAAATACTTTGTTCACCTCTTTTGTGTCAATGAGGGTAGGGTAAATGTTAGCTTTGACATTTAGCCTATATAATAGTATAAAGTGGCATCCAAGTTAAGCATGACCCCAACATGACCCAGCACCAACAACGTGAATAAACTCAGCTTAAAGGCACATAGTCATCTCTGCTGTGTGCCCTGGCTTTTAAAACAACTCAGACTCAGAAGATATGTTGAGTGAAATTGGAAATGACAAAATAATTTACACACACACACACACATATATGTATGTATGTATGTACATGTATGTATGTATGTATGTACACATACATACATATATATATATATACACACACACATACACATACACACACACACACACACACACACATATATATATATATACATATATATATATATAATATATATATATATATATATATATATATATATATATATATATATACATACATACATACATATATACACATACATATATATGTCTTCTATTTAGCATCAATCAAAAAGTCAATAAGTAGCATCAGCTCATCTTTAAGCTGATGATACACGGGGCAACTTTTTGAGCAATGTTGCTGGGCAATGTTGCTAGTGGCAAGTCCGGCTATGTTTTGAACAGATAGGGCGGTGCGGGGCGGGTGGCGGAATGATGGGGGAAGGGGATTACGGTAGTAATCTTTACTCATTATCATTGATGGCAATGTTGCCCTGCACGATTGCTCTAAAAGTTGCTCCATGTATCAACAGCTTAACGCAATGAAATTTGAAATTAATCAAAACCTATGAAGACACTACCATTGAACAATTCAAACAATTCCTCTGAGATAAAATAAAAGATAAAACCATAAAAAACAAACCCATAAGAAATTTTAACAAAGAAAAAAATGTACCAATAAGGTAACATCATACACCAAAGGTCTGTGAAAAGATACCGTTATACATTTCCAACAAATTTCTTCTTTTTTTCTTTAAAAATAGAATGAGGGACAGCACTAATCCATTTTGCACTGTGTTTTGGGTCCTTACAGAGGCGATATAGCTGCATTATAAACTAATATAGCAATACTACAGACAACATGCATGTCAGTTTGCATGAATAACTAGATGTCTGGAAAGTAAGACAAAGGCATAAACATAGTGTAACATTACAGCCAATTTAGTAGAGCATAAACATTTGTATGTGCAGAAAGGGCAGTGTCCACCAATTGCAGATTGTGTCCTAAAGTAATAATACTAATCAGGGATATCATAAAAGTAAATAATACTATAAAAAAAATCATAGCAAAACAAAGTTATATATAACTTTAAATATTCCAGTAAAAGTACCAGAAAGTAAAAATACCATAAAGTGCAACAAGGTGAAAACTATACTGAGAATTTTTTCAGCAGCAATTTCAGTTTTTACTTCTATAGCAAATTTACAGCAGGTTTTGTACACAGATTTTAATGATTAAAGAGAAATGCATATTTTTAATACGATAATGATGTTAGCACCGACTACATAGTCATCTAGATGTTTATCACTCGGTTAAGCACTGATAGAAAAATAATCTATGTACAAAACTGTATTTCTGATCTAAGAAAAAGCACTTAGTTTTGATGTTGATGGGTAAGTATTTCCAAAGATAACCTCTCATACAAAATGTTTGGTAGCACAAATGATTAACATTGTGCTGTGGAAACAAATACATTTTCAGACTGGATGCTTTAGCATGTAAGTTGGAGAAGACTCTAGACTATTAAAATCCTTAAGAAACTACACACATAATAACTAACGTTCACCAATGTACACAAGTTCTTGTGAAGAATTTGGAAAATAGAATATTTAAATATTGTGCTTAGTGATTACTGTCAACACAACACTCTTAATGACTGGCAGACAATGATTAAAGCTGTAGAGGTGGGCATCCCTCCCATATCCTGCAAAAACAAATTACCATGTAAGTGTCCCAAAGCATCAACATTTTTAATTGTTCATTTAAACTTTGTGGCTGTTTTAAAAAGGCTAATATTGGTCAGTTTATTGGATGTACATGAACAACAAGGATTATTCACTCTGCAGCAAGAAGTTGAATAAACATTGGAAGAGCCTGGCTAACCTCAATTAGGCTGTGGGGAAACGTACTGGCTTATGAAAGCACACTGGTACACCTAGGGTTGCAAATCAAAGAATCTTCTACAAACTTTTTGCTGGTTGGATAATAAGGTTGATGAAAGCAGCAAGATCGTACATTCAACGTGCTGCCAAAAGAACCAAAAGCAGCTAAAAGCTACATAGAGCTGCAGAGTCAAGTGACTTTTTCTCATTACAGGGAGTCATTTTATTCCATGGTAACATAAATGCACCACTTACTGCAGGTTTAACTAAAGTGAGACATTTAAATATTGATGATAACATGACCAAACTTATTGTGATTAGTCATGATGTCCAGGCCATAAATATTACCATCGTACTAGCCACAATATGTGTCCATCCTCGATTGAATGTGCTACTTCTTACCCTAGAAGTTTAGGGAAAGTACAGTATTAACTTGCAAAGTGATGGTGAGATTTCATTTCATCCCAAGATGAAAGAGTTTCCTGTATGGTCCTGGTCCACCCCACAGGCCCCTGACGTAAGAAAAATAAAGAACATTAATAAAATGGAATGAAATGAAAGGTATGGTACAATTGTTCAATACAAACTTTTAACATGTTGTTGATTAACTATACATACTTTAAAAGCCCGTGCCAATAGAGGTGAGGCATCACATCAGCTTTCATGTAGTACATGAGTCTTCTTTCTTTGGCTTGGTTGATGGGGAATGTTTCCAGTGGTTGGTTATTGTAGTCAAACTCTGCCAGAATTACCGTGTTGTAGCTCGTGACCAACGGACATGAAGTGTAGCCATCATACTGTATACAAGGAGATACTGATTATGTATTTGCATATATTTCAACAGAGAAGTAAAATTCTTGATGTTTATGTGCCACTTACCTTCTTATCTGGCTTCTCATTTTTCAGTATTTTGCTGATGGTTCTGTTCAATATAGCAGACTGAGCAGCTGAGAATGAGAAAAAATGGTTGGCTTTTTCATTAAATGTGTAAATTCTCTTTTTAGGAATTAAGAAGACTAATGCTATATCCCAAATCCACGCTACATGCTATTTAATTGTTAAGTATACAAAACAATCAACATACTTTATATCAGCAGAACATGACACAATATGGCTAACATCCGACATCCATCAATTGAAAGCAAAGTGTCTTTCTTAAGATTGATTCATTATTTTTCTTAGAAAAGATCTTTGTAGACTATTTCACCACCATCTACAATTCATCACATTTCTTTGCACCTGTGAGCAGCTACTTTATTTAGAGAAACAGTATCCATTTAGGAGAATAGCGTCCATCAACAGCACACTGACAAAAACAAACAAATTTAGTATGTAGTATTTAGTTACTGTCTGGTTTGAGTATACTTTATTGTGCCACTTTTCCAGGGTGAACAATCCATATACTTAACACCTGCTTACAATTAGTATGTAATATGGATTTGGGACACACAGTAAGAATTTACATGCAAGCTTCCACGAAAGGAATACTGTTGGATGGATAAAAAGTAAAGAGGTAATATGGCTATTCTAAGGTTCCTTACTACTAGAAGGAGAAATAATTTAAAGTTGAATTTATTGAAACGCAAGGTTTTAACCATCCATCCATCCATCTTTCATTATCTTCTTTGCGGTTTCAGAACTGTTACAGCCATACTGATGAGCATGATAATGCTAGATTCTTTACTGCAGTCAGATTGCCGA